AGTCCTCTTTTAAGGAGGCGCCTTTGTATGATGGGCGCTAAAATACAGGCTGAGCCACTATCTCTGGGATTACGGCCTGCTGACCTGCCACATCTGATCACAGTGCAAACTAAGATTAGGGTTTATCTCTACTGGGAAGAAAGGAGCCCTGATTGCACAGAGAATAATGTAACGAGCTGCAAACTGAAAGGGAGACATTTGTCAGTCAGTTGACCAGTTCGAAGTTTGACTTTACTGGTTATTCTGTAAGAAGAAAGATGGGCAAGATTTACTGTCATAGAAATCTTACAAAAAGTCACATTGGGCTGGAGCCAGCTTGTTGATGATGAAGCAGATAAAGGGTCATTGAACCAGAACCAACTCGATGACAGTGGGTATTACACTGGGGAGGGGGAGGAGGACTGTTTGCTGACAGAGTCCCGCCGCCCAGCGTGTCCCCACCAGGAAGCCCAGGATGAAAACACCCTTCTCCAGCTTTCCTTCTTCCCAGCAGACATTGCTTTTGCAGAGTCTCATGCTCGACTATTGAAATGATCCCAAGAAACACAGGCAGCTATCAAACCACGAAAGGAACTTCCCAGTTATTTTGAAAGGATAGGACAATTACTGAAACAAGAAATGAGAGAACAGATTTCTATTTACTCATCAGGGGGCATTGTTATAAGGAAAATATGAAAAGACAGTATTTATTCTGGTTCAATTGTATATAATAAGTACCTAGAAAAATGTTTAAAAGTACAGAATATCTAGCATTTATAAAAAATTCCAATAATAATATGCTACATTCTAGACTATGTTTTGCAGACACAATTGTTATTATGTGGGTTTGCATTGCTTAATATCCAGGGCACATTCCTTGAAATAGGGTGTTAGAGGATTTGGACATTGTGCAAATGCCATATTAAAACTGGCTGGGAACATGCCTTGTTTTTCCATTGTTTGGTTTGTTTTTTGATTATAAAATGAGTTCAGAAAAAAAATATATTGAGAATAAAAGCAAAAAAAATGGTAAAGAAAGGACAAATGGGAAAAAAAATTCAAAATATTTTCCCCCAATGTGAGAATATGAGTCCTGAGGGAAGGACCAGGCAGGAGCAGCTGCTCTGAAGGCTGACGCGCTGCTGGCACCTAGTTCAAATCTGTGAGTGGAAAGGTGGAGCAGGGGCTCCTAACTGCCCTGTCCATCAACTGCCACAGGCTTCTTTTTTTCCTAAGGGGGAACCATCAAAAGAGACCCAGAGAGAAGAATGAAAGATCAGGTGGCCTGGTGTAATTGTAAGAAATAGCAGGGAGATAGAGGATCAGTGTCTTCAGGGAACTGTGACTGGTGAATTAAAGAAGATGCTTACAGAAAGGAGAGGTCCACCACTTTGCCCCTGTTAAATTTTGGCTATCTAGAGAAAAAGTGAAAAATGTCAAAGTCACTGCAGTGGAGTTAGAACTGACTCGTAGCTGACCCTCCAGCAGGGTTTCAGAGGCTGTAAATTGCCTGAGACTGCCCATCTGTTTCCTGCAGAACAATTGGTGGATTCGAACTGTGTGCCTTTGGGTTGACAGCACAGCTTACCTAGTACTAGGTCACCAGAACCCTCTGATGTAGAAAAAACCAGCTCCTATAGTTAATTCTATCTCCTCTTTCTCAAAAAAAGAAGTAACTAAGGTGGCTTATGAACCACTAGCTCTGGTGGCATAGTTAGTTCAAACCCACCAGCTGCTCTACAGTGGAAAGGTGGGCAATCTCCTTCTGAAAATCCACTGGAGGGTTGGTGATGCCTTTTGAGTTTATAGGCTAAAGGATTACAGGAGTCATTTAATGGCTTTCAAATGATTCAGGCCAGCAAGTGAGGTCCCCAGCGGGAAGAATTTGGCATTGTATCTGTCCCTGTGTCTTGACAGGTTTCATGGCCCCTGAGCTCCTGCGGAGTGAGGAGTATGATTTTTCCGTGGATTATTTTGCCTTGGGGGTCACACTGTATGAGATGATTGCAGCCAGAGGACCCTTTCGAGCCCGAGGAGAAAAGGTAGGAGGTCTTTCTCTTTAGCCAACATCTTTATAGCTACCCTAATATTGAATTTCCTTTTTGAGGGTGAGAGTTGTGATAAGATCTATTGTTGAGTCAGAACCAGGGCTTGGAGGTTGTTCTGCAGGACCATGTTAAGGGCTCACATTCAGAAGCCTTGCTTTTGGTTCTATCTTCTCTCCATAGAGTGACTCATGCAGGTCCAGCAGCGGTAGTGTTCAGGAGTGCCAAGGACCCTGTGCAAATTGGGGTGGTCCCAAGATCTGCAGGGAGACTTCCTATGAGACTTTAAATCCATCCTTCTGTCCTAAAGCAGACATGTGATAGGCCAGAAATGTCTCCATCAATACGCTACTCAACTCTTGACTATAAGTCTCCTGGTAGACCCTTTCCTAGCCTGATGACTTCAATGAGAAGACTCATTGATACTCCAGGACACTAAAGGGTGCTTCAGTGTAAGAGCTGCCTGGACCATCTCACTTGCACCCATGAGCAAATTCTCAGCCCCTTGTGGTGCTCTCTGGGAGAACAGGAGTATGTGGATTTCTTCCTTGGATGTCTTTATTGTTCAGCATTTCAAATCAACAAGTTTTCTTTCTTGAAAGTGGCTAAAAGCCTGCTGTGGTAACACATGCAGTATCCATAGGCAGATCCCTGCCGCAAGGCTCATAATCAAAGTCCCCAATTTTGAGGCTGCCTAGCCCTCACATGCTGACTCTGATTGTACACTCAATCAGGATCCTATTTTTTTTCTGTGTATGAAAGAACTCTGATGGGCTGTTATGAGAAGTCCTTCATGAGTTCAGTTAAAAAAATCACAATAAATAAATGGTGGTGCATCCCTCCAAAGGAATACATTTGGTAATAAAAAGATGTGAATCACAGATACAAATAACAACCTGGATGCATCTCAGACCCACTATGCTGAGTGAAAGAAGTCACACACACAGAGTAATACAGTACTGCCCAGACCCATTTGCGTGAAATGTTACAAAGGGTCAATCTAACACAGTGGGGCAAAACCCATCATTATTTGCCTCAGGCACAGGGTGGGGAAATGGACTGCAAAGGGGACAAGGAATCTTCTGGGGGTGATGTGTCTACAATGGTTACATGGGTGAGTTCACAAACCTTGTCGACCTGGGTACTTAAAGTGGGTGCTTTTATGGTATATGAATTATGCCTTAAGAAAGTAGATTAAAAATAAGGAATGAGGGAAGAGTCATCATTAGGTTTCCATTTAGTTATACCTGTGTTGTTGTGTATCATTGGAACTGACCCATAGATGACCCTCCAGTGGGTTTTCAAAGGCAATTAATTTCACTGGAGGAGACTGCCCATCTTTCTCTTGCCCGCCTCTCTCTCTAACGGGTAAGGTTTAGAAAGTTAATTTTCTCCCCTTTTCTGTTTATTCTTTTCCTTACATATATATTGCTTATTTCAACAAGTCAATCATACTTGAAAAAATACACCTCACCTCAGTTTTGACTGATACTTGCAAATTTCACTTTTAAAATCTCATTCCTTCGACTTGAGGTGATACCTCTGAAGTGTTAACATACCGGGGAGTAAGAGCAAACTAAGGTGTCCCTTATGGCCCGTGTTGATGAGTGTCACACTTGCCCCTGAGATGCGTTTTGTGAGAGGACATCTGAGCATGCTGAGGCCTCTGACTGGAGATGTCTCATCTCTACCCTCTTCCTCACCTTGCTTTGGACTGACTCTAACGCTGTAGATAGGTCTGTCTGCTGTTGGTTTAATGTGACGTGGTGCGTCCCTGGTGTGCAGGTGGAGAACAAGGAACTCAAGCAGAGAATCCTGTCAGACCCTGTGAATTACTCGGAGAAGTTCAGCAAGGCCAGCAAGGACTTCTGTGAGGCATTGCTTGAGAAGAACCCAGAGAAACGTCTCGGGTTCAGAAACGGGACTTGTGATGAGCTGCGCGCCAACCCTCTCTTCAAAAACATTAACTGGAGACAGCTTGAAGCTGGTACTATTACATGACTTTTAGATGTGGGGCCAGTGTCTGTGGGAGGGTGTGTCTTGTGTTTTAACTGAAAGGCTGATCAACCAAACTGGCCTTTTACTAAAATTTGTCAGCTTAATAGTTAATTGAGGCCTGGAGTAGGCTTTTTCCTCTGTCTTCTTGTCATCCTCTCTCCCCTGCCAAACAATGGCACCTACCTCTGCCAATCATCTCTTATGTGCAAAATGCATCATGATTGGGTTTTATCTAACTTGCCAGACTCCCTGGGGAAATCAACCTGAGGCCTGTAAAGTTGGACATTCTTCAGGGATGATGGAATGAGTGAGAAAAATGCTGACCTAACATTTTGATGGTGAAGCTTTGTCTCACATATTTCAGGCATATTGTTAGAAGGGGCCAGTCCTTGGAAAAAGACATGATGCTGGGAAAGGTGGAAGGTCAGAAAAAGAGAGGAAGACCTTTATTAAGATAGATTGACACCGTGACTATAACAACGCACTTACGCAGGAGGAAGGCACAGGATAGAGCGAGGTTCAGATTTGTTGTCCACAGGGTCGTTATTGAATCTTAGTTGACTTGATGACACCTAACAACAACAACAATAGCTACAACATTTTACATTTGTGGACACCTCCTATCCCTTTCATTTAAAGGAGCCCATAATTCAAACTAAAAGGAGTATTTAAGAAATTATTTTTTAAGCTTTTTTTTTTTAAATTTTGTGTGTGTGTGTGTGTGTGTGTGTGTGTACCATCAAATTGGATCAGACTGGTACAGGAGGAGATTGTCCCCTCCTTCTCCAGCAGAGCATCTGGTGGATTTGAATAGTGAGCCTCTGGGATTGCAGTGCAACTTCTTGCCACTAGGCCACCAGAGCTCCCTAAGAAATTATTTCTTTCAACTTGTTTTGTTACCAAAGTTAACAAACAAAATACTATGTGTACCTGAGAGAGAAACATGTTTAACACACACAGTGCCTAGGCATCTACAGTGAGATAGAGAGTCAGGATGTTTGTACAGACACCCACACCAAGGTGTGGTCCTGTTCTGAGTGAAGCTGTGGACAGACACCCACACCAAGGTGTGGTCCTGTTCTGAGTGAAGCTGTGGACGGGAATAGCACACCTCGGGTATACATAAGTGGCAAAGGGCACGGAAGGAGGGTCTTGACTATGATGAGGGAGCTCTGGTGGCTCAGTCCCTACCGAGTTGCATGGCTACCCCAAAACTGCATTTTTCATGGATTCTCAGGAGAAAGCTGGATAGTCGCCTTTTGTTACTATTTATAGCCTCAGAAACTTGGAGAGTCAGCTGAGTCAGAAGGGATTTGACCATGAGGAAGGATGACTACGAAGGAGAGAGAGCTGGACAGTGGAAGAGTTTTAAGTTAGAGGGTGTAGAAATCAAAGTGGTGTTTGAAAAGGAATAATATGGCCAAGGAAGAGCAGATTAGAACATGGGAGGGGGGAATGTGAGCCCTGAGCACTAGCCCTGCGGCCACTAGAGTAGCATACCAATCCATCCTAGAGATAAATGAGAACATTGGTAAATGTTAATGTGAGCTGAAAGGTGGGAACAAACGAAATAGGCATGAAGAAGGAAGAATCACTACAACTCAAAGATGGATTAGGCAGAGTGTTAGTGGTAGGTCTAGAAGTAGGGGATATAAATCATCAAAGATTATTCTGTAGCTAATTTATCCAGAGATTTGTTCATTAATATAAATTAAGCTAAGAAGTTGGCTTTGGAAAGATGAGTCCGGTGTTGAACGTGTTGTGTTTTAGCTGCTAGACTTTCAGATGAAGTTGCTCTTTGGGAAGGTTGGTGAGGGTCATCTGAGTCGGGGGCTCTGCAGAGAGGCTGCAGGTGCAATTATGTGAGGGTAGGAGGTTTCTAATGGACAGTGTGGGAGGCCAGAGTGGAGCAGCAGTGACATGTAGTGTACTTTGTCCTTTGTGATACAGATTTGGAAAAGGTGTGAAAGCCTTGAAAAGAATCTAAATTAGAGTGTAAGAATCTCCAGCTTTTTTCTTGTTTCCCTTGTCCACTGAATCAGACTTGGCTGACCCTCCAGCGAGTTGTTTGGGCTGTCAATCACATGAAAGGAGACTGCCCACCTTCCTCCAGCAGAGCAGCTGGTGGTCTGCCTTGGGCTCACAGTAGGCCACCTACTCACCTACTAGGCCACCTGAGCTCCTGGCTTTATTCAACCAATATTTAAGCATTCACCATGTGTGCTGTAACCTAGGAGGGAGCTCCTGTCCTTAAGAGCATATCTTTTTAGGTATACTTCCCCAATTAAGAGCATTTTTCACCTGAGCCAAAGAAAAAGAATTCTTGGATTAAATGGCTGTTATTTTTACATTCCATGCTGTTTTACCTCCTCTGTTTTCCCTCTTCTAACAGGAATGCTGATACCTCCTTTCATCCCAGACTCCAGAACTGTCTATGCAAAGAATATTCAAGATGTAGGTGCCTTCTCCACAGTCAAAGGTGTGGTCTTTGACAAAACAGATACAGAATTCTTTCAGGAATTTGCAACTGGCAACTGCCCGATCCCCTGGCAGGAGGAGATGATCGAAACAGGCATTTTTGGGGAGCTGAACGTGTGGCGTTCCGATGGGACTATGCCGGATGACATGAAGGGGATCACCACGGAGGAGCCAGCACCCTCAAAGTCAGGAATGTGTCTGGTTTCCTAGAGGATGCGCCCTGAGGCTTGAGGCATTTGCTGAGGGACACAACGAATGGGAGAGAGACCAGTCTCTATAGAGGAGAAGGAAAATTCGGGAAACCTCAGTGTGGATGTGAACTAATCTGTTAAAAAACTGAAATGCCTTTGCCACTTCACTTTTAGGTGGAATCAGCCTGTGAGCAAGCAGAGTTTGTTCATTCTAGGTCAACACTTGTGTGACTGAGTTTCCTCACCAGCACAGTGGGGGGAATATTAGCTATGTGTAGCCAAATAGCTAGACTTTTTTCCACCTAGCATACTTACTGAGCTCCAAACTGTAAGCAGTTCACCTAGTCTACTCTTATTTCACAACAACAACAAAAGACACAGAAAGGACTCTCAGGAGGAAATATACAAAGGTGAATATAAATTCTCAAAGGGCCTTTGCTTAGATATACAACTTAACATTTGTGAATAGTCAAAGAAGAATGATTGAATGGCGTTTCGGGGAGGGGCAAACACTTAAGGAATTGACTCCTAATAGTTTGACTGTTTGAATCCACCCAGAGGCACCCAGGAAGAAAGTCCTAGCTATCTATCTCAAAAATTATAGTTGTGCAAAGGGGGTGGAAGATGGAAAATGGTTCAGTCAGAAGAGGTGCATGTTTGTCTTGGGTTTCTTGGTATATTAATGGTTCATTTGCAAGAGCCTGGACCACCAGTAGCATTAGTCTTTCGGACTGTTCAGGGGTTGGCAAATGCCAATCTGCAGACTCATAGGCACCAGTTGTGCTGTGAGCACTCAGCCTGTTACTCACTTTATGCTCAGAGTTTGCCTCTTGACTGCCTGGCTGCTGCTCGGGCCACCACCTACATGTCAGGGATTCTGCTGCTGGTAACTGCCCAATACTGAGCACAGGAACCTCACCTGGGGTCACATCACCTTCAGCCCGAGTTGAGATGACCCTCCCTGGGAGTGTGGAAGAGCATGCAGGTATCTGGCTATTCCTGGAGCAGAGAATAAGTGGGGCATGAAGACTGCTCCCTTCTGTGCCTACCTGCCCAGCTGCTGCCCTCTGGTGGTCCTCTTCATCTCCACAGCCTCTGTCTAGCTGATGACAACTGGATTCAGAGTATGGTCACCATCCTAGAAGACCTACCCAACCAAATAGGCCCGAGAATTTCTAACTCATTAAGCACTTATTCCTCTCTACCACCTAGTTCATTCCAACTCACAGGGACCCTGGAGGGCAGAGTAGAGCTAACCCTTAGGGTTTCCAAATCTGTAAGTCTTTATAGATGCAGACTGCTTCTCCAGCAGAGCAGCTAGGAGATTTTAACGTCCATCTTTAGATTAGCAGCCCAATGCTTCATCCCATGATTCCAGGGCTCCTGCTGTAGAAGTACCTGCACAGACTCCTCTATTCTGCCTCTTGGTCCACAAAACCCAAACTATTTCTGTCCCCGTCCCCCCCGCCCCAAAAAGTATTTACTCATGACTGGGTTGGTTAAAGGAAGCTCAACAATTCAGTGGTTAAACATTCCTAGCCATTGAAATTTACCTTCAAGGGATAACGTGGAGGCAGGCTACTTTGGTAAAGATTTACCACCTCGTGGGGCAATTCAAATCAATCCTACGGGTTTCTATGAGTATGCGATCTACTTGATGTGGTGGATTTGGGTTGGAGGTGGTGGTTCTCCTTTTCCCATAGTGACCTGGTCTTGCTCGATGCAGGTTTGATGACTGACAGCAGGAGTGATTTCTCATTGCAATGCCGTCTTTATATAACTCCAGCAGCAACATTGAAATACTGACCTAAAAGATAACACTTACAATGTTAGCCTCTTTTGCCAGAGCTCTTAACCTCAAGGGCTCCTCAAGTGCTTTATGCATTTTGATGTGAAGAACTGAGTTTTTGTTGTATCTGCCTCTGAAAACATCCACTCCTAAACTGAGATTTGCGTTGGCAAAGGGGTCCAGATGAAGCCATTCCAAGACCTTCAGGAAACTGAAGAGTCTTCCAGAAGAGTTTTCAATATTTTTGTGGGGAAGAACTTCTAATGAGTTCCCTCTAACATATGTACAAGTGGGAGAAGGAGCTATGAGCAGCATCATGAACTGGCTGCAGAAGCGAGGGGCACACAGGAAGCTTCAAGAGCCTTGGAGAGGTCCTAGCACTAGAAACAAGTCTCATTCTCTCACTTGTCCAGCAAAGTGATTGTCTGAGCCTCATCGCTCACTTGAGAGGATGTAAGTCTAGCAAATTCTGAATGATGTTGCAATTCTCTACCTGGTGAGCCTTGATGCCGGGCCCTGCCAGGGACCAGACGAGGAAAAAGATAGGTGTACTCTGTCATCTTATCTCATGTCCTGGGAGTCAGAGAAGTGACTGCCTCAAGACAGTCAACAGTGGAGGGCAAACATGCCCACAGCATAGGCTCTCTGACATCTGCTTCTTCACCACCCAAAAGGAGAGAAGAGAAGAATATTGGCCATTAACAATTTTGGAGGATTACTGGCTCCCACCTAATGCATCACTCAGGGACCTTGATTTACTTGATTGTAAAGCCTCTGAAGGAAAGATTACCCATTCCCTTAAGCAGTCGCCACTTGGCACAGGCAATTATTAGAAGTACTTATTTCAGTAAAAACCCAAAGCGAACTCATTTTTGTGTAAATGGTTTCTGTAGAAGTACCCTTATGTACATGAAGACTTGGAAAACAACTTGGGCTGCTAGAATAAACCTTACTAAAATTATCTTTCTATTCTGACTCTGCTTGTCTGATATTATAGTATCATAGAAGGACCTTAGTCGGAGGGGCATCCAGTGGCTTTTGGACTATGATGTCTCATGGACACCTTGGTGGGCTGAGGAGCCACGTGGATGCAGAGACCCCACGTCTGTTATAACCAGAAGTGCTGTCATTTCCTCTTTCTATGTTGGAGTTTCTTGTAGGATTTTATTTCACTATTTTTTTTTCTTTTTTGAAGTTGGTTTTCATTTAGTCATTCATGTACATTTTATTTTAGAACATTAGTTACAATTAATCAATGTTATTTATCACAACCTCTCACCAAACCCTCACTGTAGCTTGCCTCTCGCTTTTTTTTTTTAAATTGATTTTATTTTATATTGGTTTGCTTGCAAAGTTCATATACATTGTGCTTCACACTATTCTTTGGTCATGTTATGTTTAATACAATCATTCTCATGCATTACATTTTATAAAATTAATCACCTGTCTCTTGTCTTTTCACCTGTATCCTTCCCATTTCCTTCCTAGTGCACTGACTGTTCAGCGGTAGAGCGCCCACTGAATTTTTAACAGCTTTATTGTTATATAATCAGCATACAATATAATGCACATGGTTAGGGTGTACAATTTTTTAGATTTTGAGGTATTTGCATTTATGTGAAAGTATCATCGTAATCAAGGTAATAGATACTCCAAATAAATAATCACCCCAAAAATTCCTTCACCCCATTTGCAATTCCTCCTTCCTGCTTTTTCATGCTCCTCTTCAGCCACTCTTGTTTACCTCACTATAGTTTCTAGAATGCAACTAGTTTCTAGCATTCATTTAAATGCCATCATACTGTATTGCTCCCTCCCCTTGGGGCCTGGCATCTGTTACTCAGTAGAATTATTTGGAGATGCATCCGTGCCCTTTGTATCAGCAGCTCATTCCTGTTGAGCACTATTTTCCATCATGTTTTAATAAACCACAAGTTGATAGACTTTCCCCTCAGATTTTTATTCTTATAGTTCTCGTAATCATGGGGGTGACGAAGGACTGGGAAATGTTTTGTTTTTGTACATAAAACTGTTATGAATGGAAGCTACTCAATGATGTTTATCTATTTGTCTGTCTATCCATCCAGAACTTGTGTAAAAAGGAGACTAAACTTTCTCCTAGTGACAGTGGAAACACTTGGGAAGTTTCTGAGTTAGAGATACACATGATTTACCCATCCTGGTCAGGTCCACGATGAGAGACCTCAGTGACTGATGAACCCTGCTCTAGGACAAATTGCTGTGTCCATTTCCCACCCCTTCCCTTTATATCTTCTAGAACGGTATCTATTGATTATATAAGGGCTATAAATTTTACTTTACTGTGTTCTGGCAATGGATATGGAAAATATCCATTTTAATCTGCTATGGGTCTCATATGGTCCTAAGCAGACCCTCACTGCCACTTCTCTAGTTTCTTCCTTGCCATCAAAAATATTTTATGTAGATTTGTCCCATTATTCAAAGAAGCTAGTAAATCTCTGTCTTAGGCTGGGTTGTTAGTTTCCATGACACTGAATTTGAGTCGTGGTAATTTCATGTGTTACAAGTAGAACTACTCTGTAGAATTTTCTTGACTGCAATAATGGAGTCAGATCTTTTTCTTTGCTGGTACCACTGAGTGGGTTCAAACTGCTAATTTTTAAGTGCACAGTTAAAAGCAAACTGCTTGTGCCACTTGCAAACCAAACCACTGCCGTCAAGTTAAGTTTGACTCATATTTGACTCCATCACATTTTCAAAACTGTAGATCTTGAAGGGAGACAACTATTTATTTTTCTCCCTTGGAGTGGCCTGTGGCTTCTCACTGGTGACTCAGTCAGCAGTTCAAAATAAGCACTACATTATCAGTGGAGCTCTGGTGGCCTAGTGGCAAGAAGCTGTGCTGCAATTTCAAAGACATGTGGTTCAAGACCACCAGCTGCTTCTGCTGCCATTGTGAATGTGGTTCTGGTCTTTCCACAGGTTATAACAAATAAGCAAAAGATCTCAATCAAATATGAGGCACAATCTAAAATAAAGGGGATTTGTAAGACCACTGTTGTTGTTTGCTGTCAAGTCAGAACCAACCCAGAGTTCATGCTCCAGATGGCCTATTAACTGCCTCTGAAAACCCTCTGGAGGGTTTGCTATGGGTTGGATCCAACTCTATGGTACACAACAACATGTTATCAGGATTTGTGCAACCTAGGGGCCTTATAGGGAGCTCTGGTGGCCTATTTGAAAGAAGC